CTTATATCTGTTTCAAATTTTATCGGATGTTGCGAACCAACAAATAACGATTACAGGCTCACTTGTAATAATATTAAAAACGTTCGTTCCAATTTCTGAATATCGTCATTTCACTTAAAGATACTTGAAGCCAAAGAATATGTCTTATGATCTGAGAAAATCGAGGCACACGTTTTTGAAAAGACGGCAACTCGTAATTTTTTTAATTAATTATTTTTCAACAGAAACATTTTTCCTTCGCAGGGTCTGACATAAGCGGCAAAGGCCACTGTCCGAAACCATTTTCGAATATTGCTCCCGATATTCTAAGCACAACCATCTCTATTCCCATCTTTAACCAACAACTTTATGTCCAAACCATGTGTGTGGGGACACTCTGCACTATTCATGTCTACTAGGCGAATTTCTAAAGCAGACTGAATATATAAGTCTGTATTTTTGCCGAAATTGCTCTTAACCGCATTGAGCTCCCAAATCGAAGAATAATTGGAAAGGGCTCACCCGATACTGTCACTGTTGAATCACACAAATCAACTCGCTTTTACATGCAGCTGCCGCTGCCGCTCGCAGCCGCTGATACCCATCTCGTGCACACAGATGCAATGTGACCACCGTTATCACGCCTGAAGTGCGTCACTCCAGCTCTCCGCACTTCAGCCGCAGTTCCGCCAGTGTGCTGTTGTTGTTGTCTTCCATTCTTCCCCAAATTTTCTGGCCGACAATGATGACACTTGCAACCGTCCGGCTCAACACGCGACCAGTGCATTTGACTGCCTATCACGACTCCGGTGTCTCGCACCACGCGGCTGCGCAAGCTTTCGATGCGCTACTGAATTTAATATCGACCGAAAATCACTTTATCAGAATGCCCGCGAGGCTATGGTGAATCCCACTTCTGATGTCGGAGATAACCGTTGTTTAATTTAACCGTAGTCGAGCAAGCGAGTTCTATCCGCCTGCGCACTCAAAACGTATCTGTCATCACGTCACTTTTCCTTTAGCCTTTTCACATTTTCTTACTTTTCACTCAAACGTCAATTCTAGACAATCTCTAGCTGTCTCTCTCACTCTTTCCTATTGTTGCGACAGACGAACAGACCTCACTCAGTAACAGACAGTCTACTGTCCTTTTCCTGTTACCGACTCAACTGTCATTGCGCCTGCGCGCCAGCGACACCTACAGGCTACCAATACCTGAGCATGCCGAATAATTCTGTTGCCATAGCAACAAGCTTTCCAAATTTGCACTTAGCAACCAACTCGCCGACATATTTATATTTTTCAATATCACAATCATTTTCGATGACTGTAGTGAACGTCGCCAGAAAATCCGGCCACTCAGAATAAGATCCATGAAAACGAGAAATTTCCCGATTTGGCAACCGAGGCTTCCTAGACCTAAAGGAAAGATCTGGATTGTTATTAATGTCAATAGATGTTGAATTGGCAGCGGTTGAAACCGGCAATTGCGACTTGCGATGAGCAGCTAAGCCTCGGCTTAGTTTCGCCTTTACATCCATAAAAACTCCGTAAAATCCAGTCGCTCCAACGATGTCTGCGCAGAATCAAATGCCTAGTTTAAGGAATTAATCCATTCCATTCGCGCCTGTAAATCAGCTTCATCAAACTGATTGACCGAATCAGCATTTAAATAAAAATTCATCGAGTTCATTTGCCGCAAAATAGATTTGGCTTGGCTCGGTAGAAGTCAACGTCAACGCTGCCAAACAACAAAAGCAAATTTGATCTGCGTAGCAAAGCTTTGCCTCTCTTCCTGCCTTCTGCATAACACAAACTTCATCACTCTCTCGCTCTATTCTGTAACTTTGCATAGCTGCCCTTGGCCGTCCGCTAACTGCAGCAAAACTTCTCTTCTCAGGTCGTCTTCATTCGGCTTCGCCTTTGCTTGAAAGCGATCAGACTCAATTATTTTCGTAACTTTTTTCGGACCAATTCGTGTCATAAATATCCACAGCGGTAATTCGGCTCGTCTGTGCTGATAAACAATAGAAACTTATTGACTTAATAAATATTGTTCTTAAATTTAAAGTTTAAACCAAATGCGTATTTTTTGGGTCATAAAGAATTGGACGGTTTCGACAGCTATTGAAAAAGCTCAGTAGCTTAACATTTGGTGACCCCGACGTGATCTTGGATATTAAAAGACTTTAAACATTTCGGCTTATTAATTGTGCCAAGCGCGTACAACAATTTCGTTTAGTGCATTTGCTTGTGGCTGCGCTAGCCAAACGTACATATATACAAATGCACCGGTACTTCATCGCCGACTCTTTGCTCCCGTTCGCCTGGTTTGCTGTTCACAGCTATTCAAATTCGCTTCCCGCTTATTTTGTGCAGCAACGCTGACAAAATAATTTCGCTTGTGTGCGGGCATCGTTGCGGTACAAAGAAAAAATCTGCAGTGCATGTCAAACTATTGAGTGCCATTGTTATTGTGAACTAATAAAATAAAATGTCGACTGCAGAAATTCCGCAGTGCTCTTCGCCCAATCGAGTTACGTTTTTTAAACGTAAGGCAAACTCGATAGCTGCCCATGCTCAAAAAATTGCTTCTGGCCTTATTGCCGAGAGGGTCAAGGCCGTTTCTGAAGAGGAGCTCACCCTGCAGCTTGAGCTCATCAATCGAACCGAAGCCTCTTTCTCCTTGGCTCATGATTCGTTGAAGGAACTTGATTATGAGGAAATTGGCTACCAAGTCCGTGACGACTTCGAGGAGTTGGTGTTCTCCATGAGATCGGTGGTGCTTCAAGAGCTAGTGAAGCGCAAATTCCCAGGAGTTCCGTGTTCAACCATGCATCCAGAGGAGGCCATGGAGTCCGCTGCGCCTTCTCCGATAAGCTCAATGCCAATCTGCGAGCACTTCAGTACCTTGGAGGAGATAGCTGGTTGCATCCTTGTGAAAACGCTGTTGCAAAAAGTTGACTCTTTTACCCAGGTTAAGTGGGAAGAGTCAGCCTCTCTGGACAAAATACCCACCTGTACAGAATTTACTAAATTTTTTGAGAAGCGATGCCAGAAACTTGAGAATGTGGAGCATGCTGCTGTATCCGATGGTGGCCATTCGCAAGTTTCAAGGCCCAGGAAGTTCAGCAGTCATGGGAGAAATTCGTTCGTCGCCACTAGCTTCACAGCCTCGACCAGATCGTGCGTTATGTGCCAGGGTGCATGGCATTTATAATTGCGCTCAATTCGCTAGCCTTTCTCCTTAAGCTCGTCTGCGTGAAGCTAAACGGCTAACCTTATGCATAAACTGTCTCAAATCTCGACATCAAATGAGGAATTGTAGTTCGGGCTCCTGTCGATCATGTGGATCTAAACATCATAGCCTGCTACATTTTCCCTTACCTCCTGTAACATCGCCCCCACAATCAGCTGAGCCTATCGTGCCATCTTCATCAAATGGTTTTCAAATGGATCGCCAAACTCCTCGCTTACTTCGTCGTCATCACAATCCGCTGCTTTAGTCACTCAGAATCTTGATACGGATTGGGTTTACTTGCCACTGCAGTCATTAGTGTGCAAAATCGCTCTGGTTCGTAGGTTCTTTGCCGTGCCCTGCTCGACTCAGGATCTCAACTGCATATCATCACTTCTCGCCTCGCACACTCACTTCAGTTGCCGAAAGTTAAATCCACGGCCACTGTATCTGAACTTGGAGACTCTAAATTTTACTCGGGTGGTTTTTCGGAAAATATTACTCTAAAGTCTCAAGCTTCAGATTTCGTCTCCAGTATCTCGGCTTTGGTTGCGCCTGCCATCACGGACGACCAGCCTAGCTTCACCGTCAGCCCAGAGGTTGGAACATACCCTCCGATATTCGCCTGGCCGATCCACAGTTCTTCAGATCGCAAAGAATTGACTTATTAATTGGAGCAAGTCTATTCTTTAGGCTGCTATGTGTTGGCCAAATTAAGTTGTCTGATGGGCTCCCTCTGTTACAAAAAATCCGATTGGGATGGGTTGTCACTGGCGGCGGATCAGTGCCACGCCAGTCAGCGGCCTTGGCTGTCCAATCTACTGCAGGGACATTAGTCGGCGATGACGCTGGTCTAAAGAACGTTGTGCGGAAGTTTTGGAAAGTGGAAAACGTTGGAGAGTCTGGATCTCAACGTACTGTAACGAATCTCGGCCGCGTATAAGGGTGCCGCCCGAGATCACTACGGAAAGCAGAGCGGAACTTTTATTTGAAGGTGTGGCTGCCAAGAACTCTCCTCTGCCAACTTCCCCGTCTAACCCATCCAATGAACACACGCGGGTTTCGGGCGTATTTCGTAGCTTTTCTTTATCTTTCGCCAATTTGACGTGTTGCTTACGGAAATCGGGATCAAGAATAAGAGAAGAATCAGAGAGACCAGGCATCCTGGCTGTCAGATTCTCGGGACTGCGCAGCTTAGCTCGTTTTGAGTTCTGTGCCGTCAAAAACTCCTTATTGCGCAGCTGCTCGCGTTGCCAACTGGCTTGAGGATCGAAAGCTCTATTTGCGTGGCTTTCGTTACAGTACCAAAGAGGAGCTTGATTGCGAGGCTCATTTCAACGCAAACTTTCCTCGGCTGCCGTCAGGTGAATACTCGGTTCGCCTGCCAACTAAGCATAGTTGGGAGATTCATATCAACAAGCTTATCGTCGTTTCGTCAACCTGGAGAGCAAACTTGATCGTCATCCTCATCTCGAAGCTCAGTACTCGCCATCTATTCGTGAGTACCTAGATCTGAATTATATGAATTATAGGCCTCCAGCTCAATCGATTAAAAAACTTGGCGCTGGACTATGAGGCACGCCATCCATTAATATTGCCCCGTCAGCATCCTGTAACGCGCGCAATAATTCTGCATTTTCATTGGCGCAACCTACACTCCGGACCTCGCTCCCTGCTCGCTTCAATCAAGTTTTGGCCAATTGGTGGCCGCAAAACGGTTGCGAGTGCTGTGAGCAAATGCATAATTTGTTTTCGGGCCAAGCCACATGTTGCTGGCCACATTATGGCGGATCTTCCCGAGGACCGCGTCAAGGTGACCGAACTGGATTTTTGCGGCCCTTTCTATCACAAGTCGGAAGTTCGGAATAAGACACCCATCAAGTGCTACGTCTGCATTTTTATCTGCTTTTCCACAAAGGCTGTGCACCTCGAGCTGGTCCAGGATCTCTCCACTTCGGCGTTCCTTAGCGCATTGCGGCGTTTTATACTGATTCGTGGCAAGCCTGCCCGCATATGGTCGGACAATGCGACTAATTTTGTTGGCGCTAAGAACGAGTTGGCTGAGCTAAAACGATTGTTCCTGAATACCAGCCACCAAGCTGCAATAGATGAATTCTGCTTGACTGACAGCATCGAATGGCGATTTATTCTTCCTCGCTCTCCCCACTTTGGAGGTCTTTGGGAGGCAGCCGTGAAGACTGCGAAGTATCACTTCTACCGACCTGTTGGACCTGCAATACTGCCCGCTGATGACCTGCGCACTCTCGTTTGCCACATCGCGGCAATCATTAATTCTCGTCCTTTAGTCTCACTTTCAGAACACCCTGGCGATCTTGATGTGTTGACACCGGCGCACTTCTTGGGTACTGCGCCTCTTGCCTTGTTTCCTGAGCTTGACTACCCTAACTTGAACCTCAATCGGTCGGATCGTTGGCAGAAAATTTCGTTTTACCAGCAACTATTCTGGTCCCGCTGGAAAAAGGAGTATCTGACGCTTCTTTAACAGCGCTCCAAGTGGCGCACACAGAAGACTGATGTTCAACTCGGTGATGTCGTTCTAGTGAAGGACGAAAACCTGCCCTCTCTCAAGTGGCCACTAGCTCGAGTGGTCAACCTCGTCGCTGGATCCGACAATGTAGCGCGAGTAGCTGTGCTGAAGACTGCTACCGGCCTCATCAATCGAGCAGTTGCTAAGCTGTGTGTGCTGCCGAAGCAGGATGAAGTTGAAAGCCGGTATCTTCCAACGGGGGGAGAATGTCTGGTTATGCAGCCCACACCTGATGTCCCAGCTGCCAAACAACAACAATAAATTTGCTCTGCGTAGCAAAGCTTTGCCTCTCTTCCTGCCTTCTGCATAACATAAACTTCATCACTCTCTTGCTCTATTTAGTAACTTTGCATAGCTGCCCTTGGCCGTCCGCTAACTGCAGCAAATCTTCTCTTCTCAGTTCGTCTTCGTTCGGCTTCGCCTTTGCTTGAAAGCGATCAGACTCAAGGTTAGGTTAGGTTAGGTTAGACCGGACGGCCCTCGAGGGGCCACACATAGGCCAATATGGCCCATAGCTATCCGGGGAAACTCCTGGATGGACCTAGAGACTATTTATGCGGGTTTCGAGATCCTTGAATATCAAGGTGTTTTTCGCAAAGGCAAGGAGTTCACCTGACTTCCTCCTGGAGGCATCTTCTAGCGATGCCAGATCTGGAGAGCCTAGGTATCTCATTCTTGCCCTCCTACGGGCCGGCAAATGAGATGCTCCAAGGTTTCGGTTGCCTCGGACTCATCACATTTCCGGCATTTGGCGTTGTCGGTAATACCCAGCTTGATTGCATGTGCAGCAGACAGGCAGTGGCCTGTTAGAATACCCACTAACATTCTGCAGTCCTTCCGCAGAAGATGCAGCACGTAGTGGGTGAGTTTCTCGTTATGTTCTTTGCACATGATTTTTGATATTCTGCAGGTTGCGGAATTACTCCTCCACCTGCTTTTTGCGCTTGCGTCAGCCCGTCTTTCTGGCTCGCTTTGGAGCGTTCTTAGGGAGATAGGAACGTTTTCTGTTCTTTCACTCGCCAGTCCGATGCCTTCCTCTGCAAGTTCGTCCGGGGTTCGTTACCGTCTATGCCTTGGTGGCTGGGAACCCAGTAGATCCTCACTGACTTAGTCGTGCTATCTAGTGACTCCTTGCTTGCCAGTACATTTTTGGAACTGACCGCTGATGATTGCATGGTTCTTATCGCCGCTTGACTGTCTACGAACAAATTGACCGCCTCATGTGGACGGTTTATGCTCTGCGCAAACTCTGCTGCTTTCCTGATGGCGAATACTTCCCCCTGGAATATACTGCAGTAGCTTGGTAGCTTATACGACAGCCTTATTTCAGGGTCTGAACAGTATATGCCCGCTCCAACTCCTCCTTCCATCTTGGAGCCGTCGGTGTACATATTGAGATGTTGAGCAGAGTCCTGGCCTGACTTCCAGTCATTTGGTCCCATGAATACTGTTGTGTTTACATCCGGGCACGTTCTGGGTATCATGTTTTTTTTTTTTTTTTATATAAGTTCAAATTTAATTATACGTTAATCAACCAAATCAATGATTATAAAACGTAGGGACTAACACTAACAACAAACATAACATGGAAACATAACAGTAAACGGTAAACAACAATTTATAATTTACAAAGGCATTTCAGTTATTGGTGTAGGACTCGGGTTCTTTGCCTCCCTCTTAACCAAAGGTCACCTGGATGTCGTCTCTTCAGTCTTCGTCTGGACATGGGGATGGCCAATGATGCCGCTAGGTGGTTGGTGTGGGCCAGAAGCCGTTCATTGTACCGACTTGAGTGCCTGTTGATCTGCTCCCTCACTGGTAGCATTTTGAGGTCGTTAGCGATGTCTGCATTCCTAGCAAACCAGGGTGCATTTGTGATTGTGCGCAGCGCCCGGCTTTGGACCCTTTGCACTTTCATAACGTTAGAGTCGGACGCAGTACCCCATATCTGGATGCAATAGGTCATAGCAGGAACAACTATTGCTTTGTATAGCAGCACTTTGTTGCTGAGGCTCAGCTTGCTGGTGGACTTTAGCATCCAGTTTAGCTTTCTGAGTTTTCCACGGCATGCTGCTGCTATTTTGGTGGTGTGTTGCCTCCACGTGAGCCGCTTATCCAAGATCAATCCCAGGTATTGGGCCTGAGGAGATTGAGGAATTAGCGTGTCCTGAAATTTGACCCTAGGGAGGATTTTGTGTCTCAGGGAAAAATTGCAGTGTTGCGATTTATTTCCATTTATGGATATGTTCCACCTCTTCGTCCACTCGCTATATGTATCCAAAAAGCTTTGCGTTTTTCTAGAAGCCTCGATTCGACACGCTGAGTTTGCGATAAAGGCTGTGTCATCAGCATACGTTGCAAGAAGTGTCCCCGGTTCTCTGGGATTGGGCAAGTCAGAGGTGTAAAGGGTGTATAACACAGGACCCAAAACACTCCCTTGCGGTACTCCAGCTCGACTGCTTCTAATGGATGATCTTTCACCTCTCACATCAACCATGAATTTTCGCTCCAGCAGGTACGATTTCAGAAGGAGATATTGAGCAGTTGGTAGGAGTGTTTTTAGCTTAAAAAGCAATCCATTGTGCCACACTCTATCGAAGGCTTCCTTTACGTCAAGGAAGATAGCAGAGCTGTACTGACCGTTTTCAAAAGCATCTAAGATATGCTGCGTTACTCTATGAGCCTGTTCTGGCGTTCCATGGTGATTCCGGAAGCCAAACTGGTGATCTGGAATGGCATCCTGAACACTTCTTACTGCCATCATTCTGCTAAGAAATATTCTCTCGAATATTTTAGAGAATGTTGGCAGCAAGCTTATTGGCCGGTAAGACGCAACAAGGTTCTCCGGTTTGCCTGGCTTAGGTATCATCGATATCACTGCGCACTTCCATTGTGTGGGGAAGTGGTAAATACGTAACATGGAGTTGAACAGGAGCACAAGGAATAATATGCCCTTTTTGGGCAGAGCTTTGGCAACTCTATTATCGATTCCGTCAAATCCTGGTGCTTTACTAACGTGCAGTTTTTTAATTTGGAGACAAACTTCTTCCGGACTTACATGACGAATGGGCTCTACATCTGAGCAGGAAGTATTAAGAAATGCCAGTGTTGCTTCCACGTCCTCACTCCTAGCAAGATCAAACGGCTGAAATCGACCTTCTAGTTCGTCAGCAAAAGCCAGAGAAATATCTGCATCCGATCTGCACCAAGTGTTGTCAGCACGCTTTATAGGGATTCTGCGTGGGGGCTGCCGTTTAACTGACTTTGCTGCTTTCCAGATGTTAAATCCATACGGTTTTGTGGGGTCTGCATTGCGTAGTAGATCTGAGAAATAATCATTTTTCGTCTTATGCAGCAACTTCTTTAGATCGTTCTCAGCGCGACGATATGCTCTTTTGTCGGCCGGATTTTGCGACCGCATGAATCTGCGACGCAAGGCTCTTTTCGACCTCACCAAATCCAGGACCTCAGGTTTTAAAAGAGCATGAGGTGGATCTGATGGGTTTATTGCGCCTTGTCCACTGGTTGAAGATTCGGCAGCAATGTGAATGTTTCGCACAAAGACCTCAGTGGCATCATCAATGTCTTCAGGGGATCTCAGGACCATGTTGAGGTTTACTAGCTGGTTAATTGCTGCCTGAAACCGTGGAATATTTGCGTTTCGAGGGAGAATATGTGTTTTTTGGGAGACCTTGAAAGCAGCACTTCTTAGCTCAATTAACAATGGGATGTGATCAGAACAAAGTTCCAAGCTCCCTGAGATGGATAGGAGCTCAGAGCGAATCCCCCCCATATATGGCAAAATCAATTGCAGTTGGCGTACGCTGGCTGTACGGGTAGTGGGTAGGACCTCCGGTTGCAAGGACTTGAATGTCAGAGCTGAGGATATAGTTTGCCAATACTCTTCCACTGACAGAGGAATTTCGACAACCCCAAAGTCGATGGTGTGCATTCCAATCACCGGCAATTAGAAATTTGGGTCCTAGTTCCTCAAACAGTGTTCTAATGTCATCATAGGAGCGCTGGAAGTTTGGAGGACAATAAATAGAGGCAATAGCAATTTCACCTTGATCCGTATTGACTTTGACTGCGACACATTGAGCACTTTGATGTTCCATTGTTAAAAATTGGTAGTGTTTGAGACAGGACTTTATGATGACTGCAGAGCCCCCACGGTGGCGATCGGCGGGATGGTTAGATAGGTGAACGTCATATCCGTGTAGTTTGTAGTATGAACGAGAGCAGAAGTGTGTTTCGCTGACCAACATAATATCTATGTGATGTTTATGAACAAAAAGCTCTAGCTCCAGTGCTTTGTTGGCCAGCCCGTCGGCGTTCCACACACCAATTTTGAGTCCAATTTGACTCATGGTTGGATTGGATAAACTGGGAGACGTCCAGAACTTGGTTGAGTAGATCCTGGCGCGTTTTGTGATAAAAGGCTAGTGACGAGAGTCATCATTGACATCATCATCTGGAACATCTTTTCTAGTTGTGTTACGAGAACTGACATTTTTTCATCAGATCGCATGAACATTTCTTCTTGCCGCTGCCATTGCTGATTATTCTGGATATTACGCAGTTGCTGGGATAGATTTTGCTGTTGCGGTTGTTGCTGTTGCTGGGTTCCTGGATGTTGCTCTGGCCTTGGGATTGTGTCCAGCATTGGTTGTTGGGGTTGCCGGTTGTTTTCCCTACGTTGACTTTGTTGGTTCTGCTTCCGGTACCTACTTCCTAGTGGTGGGAATTGTTGCAGCTGCTGTTGGCTTGTAAATTGCTGAGGGCTAGCCTGTTGTGTTTGGCGAGATCCCCCGGCGACGTACCCGTAAGATAGCGAGGGCTCAATGCCTCTTCGTGCAGTTGGAGCCGTAACTTGTTGTTGTTGATGGGGGCTACGATGGGATGTAGCAGTTTTGCGTCGACTTACTGTCTGCTGGTATACGATACAGCCCTTA